AACCATCGCATACGAGGTCGAAAATGTAGCCTAGTCCAGTCGGAATGAGAACACATTATGGAGAACAAGTCTTTGTGAAATTCAATGGAAACCTGAGGCATAGTAGTATGATTGTGGGAAAATTCTACTACCAGTTTTTCATCACTTTAAACGGAATATAGTGAAGACAACCTATACTACTTTCAGGCTAGTTTTAGTGGGTTCAAATTAAAATTACTTGTCCGCCAAAACTCCTGAATTTAAATGTCAGTGTTACCAAATTCAATAAAGGGTACTTAATGAAAATGAAGAAGAAACCACCATCCATTGAAGCTATACTTGTATGAGCTTTGTCTCACTGACCTGATTCTCATGTCATGTTGGCGACTTTCTTTGCCTCCCGAGGCCCCTACTATGGGGGTTTCTAGCTCATCTGTGCCGGCCTTCTTGGATGTTGGTTTCAAGATTAGCTTTTCTCGTGGACCGGGCGCCTTCAAAGCGCCAATCGACGGAGCAACCAAATACTTTTGGTCAACCAAAGAGCCCATTGACATTCGTGAGCCCCGCAGGGCCGATGTCATCACAGTCCATGAAGAGGAGGCAACTGCGCCCAAGGGTCTTGCTGCATATCTTGTTGGTGAGCCGGTAAATCCATTGTCAGGCCCTCCTTCCGGTTCCTTTGAAGCCAGTGGAGAAGTGGGAACTTTGATCCGCCGAGTAAAGGTAGTACTGGACCGTTTAGCTGACCCTCGAGCGCTGGGATTTCTGCCGCCTGGTCGAGTAAACGTAGCCGCTGCTTCTGTGCTGCTATTCGCGTAACCCTTCATGGAGCCCGAGGATCGAATCTCGATCGGTGAGCGGGGTATGGTATCAACAATCGAGTTAGGGCAGACCTCTTTAGTGATGGTCAATCTAGTCTCCGACCGTCCTGACGGCTTGACCGGCAAGGCGCTACTGCAGCCCATCCCGTCAGGCAGAATTGAGCTGGAGAGGCTGTTCGAGCTACTGCTGCTACTGCTGCTAGTGTTGCTTTTATTACTGCTACTCCGTGCTATTGCTACGCTTCTAACGGTACTGCGATCGGCATTGATGCTATCGACAATGCTGCTTACAGTGCTGCCCATGGTACTGTAAGTCCCACAACCGCTGCTGCTGCTGCTACCACTGCTAATTGAGCTGGCGGGCGCAGGTGGTATCCTGATCTGGATTCCAAAGAGGCGGAGATCTGTGCCAAGGTAGACTGGAGTTGGGACGAATTGCTGTTTGTAGATTAACTCAAACTGACCCGGCTCACAGGTAGCGTCATGACGGCGGTCGACAGTTACTGGGCAAGGGAGGAATGACAAGACTAGCAGAGTTAACTGTTGCATAATTTGATGTCAGCTAAGTTCCATAACATCAATAGTATCAGCACCAACAAAAATAGTAATAAGATGTAAATGTTATACAAACATATGCTTCTCCCATTAAAATGACCCCTATCATAGTTACTAGTCTTTTCAGATAGCTAGTTC